ACTGAGGCTTTTAGAGCACGCTAATGACACCAGGTTAAATCAATGGCCATAATCTGCATTATCACCGCTCAGTTGTATTTTACTTGTGAGGCTTTTAGTGGAGTTGATAAGTCCACCGGTGACACAGATGAGGGCGCAACACCTGTTTCTGGGTTTATGTTCCTTTCGCTCTCTGTGTGGTTAATTTCCTTTCTAATTCACCCTAACGCTTCCGACATTCCTTTATGATAGTATTTCTTTACAAGTGTTTCTAACCGTATGCTTACTTCTGGAGGGTTAGTACCAAGAGCGAATTCTAATTGGTGATAAGTTCTATCTGACCGTAGATCGACATTCATGGGCTGAAGAAAGTAACTGTGAATCGTGAATCTGTGATACACCGTTCCGCTTTTTCAACCCTATCACTTACTATTGACCATTAAATCGGGAGCCTACGGAGCAGAACGCGCACTATCCACCTTAACTATCAGATCGCTGGTTTTCACTCACTTTTCCTCCAATTAGGTTAGTATTTTGTTTCTGTTGTTTTCTCTGCGAAGTGTCAGGCTAACTTAAAAATCTATTTTCCATTCATCTCGCTCAAACCGCATTGACAGACTAACTAACCAAAGTTCAGTTGATTATTTAACGAACTGCGACGAAATCTATACAACATTGTTTTTATTATGCAGCTTGTTCTATACGGCAACGTCGCAGAGCTCTTCGGGAGCTTAAAAAACGACAGAAGATGACTGAGGTATGCGAACATCCGAACCCTGATACCGGCACATCTGATCAAGAAGAACGAATCGAAGGAGATAACAATTGTTTATCGAATGTTTCTATAGAAGCCACACGACAAGTCGATGCAACCTTGAATGAGGAACACTTAACCTTAGATCATTTGTTAGGCCAATATTCGTTTGGTCGTCAGCAGCCTCGTTACGATCTCGACGAGGTTTGTCGTCCCGAGGATAACTGGCGAAGTTGCATTCCACAGCACTTACCTCGGGCTACGCCACAGTCGTGGGTGCGAACCGATGAGGTCAATCTGGTGCGATTACCAGAAAAAGTGAGATCTCGTGGACTCTACTCCGGCAAGTTCAATTTAAATAGCTACATCCCTGTGCATTTTGGTCGACTACTCTATGTCCTGTTGCCGCGCTTCTAAAGGTCGTTCTTCCAACCAGTACTCAAAGTTCTTTTTTACTTCTTATGAAAATAAACGGTTTGATTATTTACATACTAACCTTACGGCATATGTTTCTCAAATCAACAGAAGTTATAATGTGAGAACAAAGTTGGGATTCACAACTTGGCATCAGGTATCACAGTTGTCCCTCAATATTTACCGTAAATTATTTGCGTATTATTTTTATCATTTTTTCGATGTTCCACGTACAGTTAGAACATCTAGTACTCATTTTTTGGCTGTTGTTTGTGATGTTTTTTTGCGTGTCAGAAAAATGCTCCTGGCACACGGGAAGCTGGAGTTTCCGGGCGTTCGGTGCTTTCAAGAAGTTTCGTCTTCAGCTCAGTTCCTTTGAGTCCTTATGAGAAGCGTGGTGCAACTCTTCATTATTATTATTTCTACTCGTTCATTTTGGTGAGGGGTAATGACTTTCATCACTGCTTATGTCGATTATTCAGAAAGGCACGCATCAGATATCTAGATCGACAGTGGAAGTGCATTTGCAGTCCGTGCGGTAAAACTCCTTCCTTCCTTAGATGTCCTCGAAAAAATGTTCAGTAGTCTCATGGTTGTATAGAAAGAAACTGACCCTAATGCTTTACGTAATTCGATTGTGTAACATTTTATGTTTCCAACAGTAACATTTTTGAGGGCTTTTTACCTATATTCAACGCTGGGATCGTATTCTGATTCACTAGTCTGCACGCTCAAAGCAGCATCTTATTTTTTCACTGAAAATGTGTCCACTGTGGACGAATAGATTTCATTTTTACCTTGACTTCACCAACAAGTAAAGGCTATATCGGTAATCCTTGTAACCGTTCGCTATTGACGGGCGTGACTAGGCGCTGTACTTCCACTGTGCATTAGTTTTCCCATACCCAGTATTTTCTATCTATGCATATCACGGTCCCAGGAAGTAAACACTACATACAATAACAGCGCAGACTGAGGAGTTTGCTCTTCTCGTTTTTAGTTACACTGTAATATTAAATGGTAAACTTAAAATCCCGTGACAGAGACCTAGGGGTCATAGTTCACTACAAATCTTCAGTCATCTGAGGTGTACGTTACTGAGCGCGTTTCCAGGTCACGGTGAGGGGAACCATTATTTAGGTGAAGGAGAAATGACCACTCCAATCAAGTCAAATGCGGTGCGCACCCTTAAGGGTGAAGATCCAGCTACTACACAACCTTAAAACGGTTCAATAGACGTGAACAATGTGATCAGCCCAGTAGTTGGTTCCAATGCAAATCGTTCAGAGTTGGTGAACAAATGAGTTAAATATGGCATATCGGAAGAACGGTAGGTTTTTCTCTGAACATAAATTGGTAGTTCGAGCGGATAAGAGAGGAGGAGATGCATATATCAAGATCAAATGAAGAAGATAGCTGTGGTCCCTTTAGTTACTTTTAGAGAATTTCTGAAGTGAACTGCTGTTTTGAAACCATGATCATGATTTAGTCACATAGCGTACCAGTGTCTGAGAGACCTGGAATTGTCGGAAGCCTTCTGTGGGTAAATTGAAGCAGGTTACGGGAGAACCATGAAGCCAATAGGGCAACATACACACAGTGACAAAACTTTCAGTAGGGTGCTAAGGGGCAGGGTTTGGTTTGAGCTGCGAAACAGTAATAGCTTTCTTTCTCTTGGAAAACTGCAGTTTAACTTTACACCTAGATATTTGACAGCTGTCAGTCTGGCGATGAGAACATCGTGAATATGAAGATCAAGGTCAAGTTGTAACTGTTCGTCTTTTTTCTCCCCTCTGATGTGAACGGCCAGACCGATAACACATTTAGAAACATTCACATGTAAATTATAAAAATGAGACAGATAATCGTGATTGACCAGCCCTTAGAGTGCAATGAGTGGATGCTCTCGGAGAGGGCATACCTGGAGCAGTATTGTCCGCACATTCAATGGTTAAGTGATTGTCGTAGACCTGAACAAGGCAACACAAAATCACGTACACTCTCGCTCGTTTGCTCGCTCTGTGTACCCGCAATTCAATCGCACATTCATCACTCTCACCAACATCCGCAGGCTGAACCGCAACATCGATTCTGTACACCTATATCCCCATTCTTCTCTCTACTTTTTGTTAACCGAAAAGCAAATCTCCTCCTCGTCAGACACCACCCTCCAACTACACTTTTCACTCCTCCTTTCTACTCTAAGCTGGTGTCTGGGCCTTTATCCACCAATCAATCGCCTACAGAACGAAAAATCTTCACTTTTCCTATCGGGACTCGCAGCTGATGTGACTGAAGCTCCGAATTTCTTCTTTTAACCATTACTTTTGTGTTCCATATCGTATGTTCTATATCCTTCCTCCAATAGTGGCGATTCCTCCATCTTTGATTTTAATCTTCAAACATTGAACACTTGTTTCCAACTACCATGTTACCATCTTGGGTGATTTTAACGTTCATAATCAGGATTGTTTGATATATTCATCTGCTACTCCTTTGGCGCGCAAGCCGAGTATTTCGCTTTCGGTGAAGTTCCTTCATCTCATGTAGCCCCATATAACCTACGAACTAGTCCGAAGGGACTGTGGTGCACACCGAGTGGGTCACTGACACTTGATGTAGTTGAGCGGTACATCCTACCGGAT